TGTATATTAGTGTAAAAGTTAGTTTTAAATTAACCCAATTCAATCACTAACAAAGACATTATTAAGAATAATAATTTTGTGGGTGTTCAATATTTGTTGTTTATAAATTATTTTAATAAGGATTCAACATGATAATTATTCTTATTAAATAGCTTAGTTAAAAATATCAATATATCAAAATTTAAGAAACCCACACAAATAAACAAATATACAAAAAAAAAAAAAAAATCGGTAGTTTTCAAGTGGCAGCATTGCCACTTGGTTGCATGCATGGTGGTATAGAATATAATCTTTGGAAATTGAAGATTGATTACATAGAAGAGAGAGAGAGAGAGATGCATTGTATATATATACATGCATGCTTGCATTTGGTGAAGGAGGGATGAAAAGGACAACTGCGGAAAAAAAAAAATCTGTCAAGTTGAATAGGAGGATAAGAGGAGGAGGAGATTAAGAAGGATATATATTTTCTACCATTTCATCGTTCCATTTCAATCCTACAACTAAGTAAGAAAACGCTTTCAACCCTCTCATTTTTTTTAAATGTTGAAATTTTCAAATTATATTTATATGATAAAATGACTAAACTTGTAAATAGAATTTTATTTATAGTTGTATGTAAATTTATGATTTGTATATCAAATATTTGAAGATATTGGTAGTCTTAAAATCATGATAATATTATGGAATTTGGACTTGCATGTGTAGTTTATACTATTAAAAAGATTTTTGAAGATTTTATTTGTCCCTTAAATCTGTCAGAAAATTTGTATGAATTTTTAGACAATTTTATACTCAAAATTTGAAGATTATTTCTTCTACAAAGTTGTTGGGAATGATGTCTAGTTCATCTAAAAATTTTTGCAACAATTATTGAGCTTTGTACGAATTTATACAAATTTTTAATTAAATCTGAAACTGTAAGACAGATTTTACTATATGTTTGAAAATTTATTAAAAATTCTATATTAAACCAAATCTGGTAATTTCTAACTAAAAGATGAAATTTGGAAGTCTAGTTTCATAATAAATGTTTAGATTATGGAGCTGATATATGAATTTAAGTATGGAATTAATTTAAGAAAATGTGATAAATCTGTGTCATAAAATTTCTGAGAATTTTACAGAATCATTTATAACTTATTTTTGGGAAATTCTTTCTGAAAAATGACCTAAACATATTTATTAAATATGCTGTATATTTACACAAATTTTAGAATTGTATAAATAATTTATTTATAATTTTTATTACCTAAGGTACATCCTGAAAATTTCTGGGCAGGTTCAAGATTATTACTTCAATTAATTATTTGGATAAAAAAAAATTAATTATTGTGTTGGTCTAACTCATTAAATATTGTAAATTAGTAATCCATGTATGGGTGTATTGTGGTTTATTTAATATTGTGGTAGTCTAATCTTGTAAATTAAAAATCCATGCATGTATGTGATTATGGTTTATTTTCTTTATATCTAAATTATTATTTCATACAATGGTTTAAATAAATTGTTTATTTAAATTTTGTACAATTATTTATTATTGTGCGACATGTGTAATATTTTCTGTTGGGAATTTTAATGAGTTGGTATAACGTTATTTGTAATTAAACATTGGAATTATTTGTGATTAATATCAAAACTAACTGAAATGATTAACGGCATATACAAAGTTAACAATTGACGGTTAATACCAGTTGTTCAGGGTGAGTCTTGATTTTAAAGAGTGTACGAAATTAAGAATTGACGGTTAATACCGGTTATTCAAGGTGAGCCCTGGTTTTGAGAATTCTCACGTAAATTATGTCGCGAAACCCTAAGATAGCACAAGACTTATTTGAACCCTTTTCGGTGTTCGGTTTTGGAATAAGGGTGGATGTGCAGGTGGCACACAGGGAGGTTACATACCCCTGGCAGACCGTTTCCTTGGGGCAGACCACAGACGCCACTACTTGGATATGCAACTCCGGACGTGGGCATCCCTGGTAGTTACGGTTGGTAACACTTGAATATTTGACCAAGGAAGGGTTTCAAATTAACCGTTGTCATGCTTAGTGGTTGGTAAATTAAATCTCTTTGGTGAGATTTCGAGTGTCACCTAATTTATTAGAATTATATAAATTATTTTAATGGTTGTAATTTATGTTTTCAATTATATTGTTATCCCATGTTTATAATTTCATTATTTTTCTCTTAAAAAGAATGGTAGGTTGGTTATGTTTTCTTACTGTGTTGCAAAACTCATGGCATATATTTTTGTTGCCCCAGCATTTTATGCTAGGTTTTGGCGAGGAAATAATTGA